TGTTGGAACTGAGTGTCTTAGAGGAATTGTAAGGATTGCTTCATGTACTATTAAAAAGAACAGCTCTGGCCTGGCCAGTGTGGCTCAGTGATTGAGTGTCAACCTATGAACCAGGAGGTCAGGGCACTTGCTCATGCTTGGTTTGTGGGCTAGATTCTTGGTGGGAAGCACGAAGGAGGCAGCCAATCAATGATTCTCTCTCATCATTGATGTTTCTATCTCCCCCTCTTCCCTTCCTCTCTGAAATCAATAAAAATATATTTTAAAAAAGAGAGAACAGTTCTTCTTAATCTATCTTTCAATATTCGTGCAACTAAAATAATTGCTCTAATAGCAATTCTACTTTTTAATAGATGTGAAATACTTTTGATAGTGGCAAATCCCTGAGTTTAGCATGTCACCATGCACAGTAACATAATTTTTGTGCGTGGATGCTAGGAGGTGGACTTAGTGTACTCATTGCATAAAGATTTGTTTTTTCCCATGCAACTATAAATGCAATTTAGAATTGATAGCTAATTCCAAATGATTCCGAGAGAAATTTTGTTTTTTTAGAAGACTTACACATTGTAGGGTTGATGAATTTCAGTAACCTGGAGGAAATGGCTGTGGGGAAAAGATAGCGTAGGGTAGCATTGCAGAGTTATTTTCAGAAAATTTTGAACAGATGTTTAGTGTTTATGAGCTGATAAAAATATCACATTTGACACTAAGTTGTTTGAACATGGCTAATGCTTTAAACTGTGATCTCTTTCTCAGGACTGAATGTAAGATAAGTGAGTCTGTTCCTCCGGAGTAAAAACCATTACTGACCTGTATCTGGTTGATCATTGGCACTGTTATAGTTTTGATATAAATAAACCACCTTAACATCTTACAATTTTCCTCCTCTTTCAGTGGCCCAGTAGGCTCTTAGAACTCCAGTTTTAAAAAGTATTAAAAAAAATAACATGGGTATATCTTCTTTTGGTGTTGCCTTTCAAATCGACAAAAATGAATAATCCTTATGTAAGGTCATCTGTGTAATGGGATCGGCTATGCAAATTTGGAGATTAGGTGTACACTAGAGTTAAACTGCTCTGCATAATAAAGGTTAGAGGGATTTGAAGAGCAAATGGAAAAAAAACCTGTGGGAGAAAATAGATACCAAGGAACCTGGGCACTTCTTAGTGGAAGGGGGTGTGAAAGCACCCTTCTACTCAACCATCATTCCAAGGAGAAAAATATTTGTTGGGGAGGGGTTTAGTTGTGCAATTTAAATCCTGTAGAGGCTTTGGTAAAATCTAAGTAGCTCGCTAATGATTGGTGTGAATGCTCTCATTATGAAATAAAGTAGGTGCTGAATTCAACACTAGTTTGAATATGAGATGAACACAGTGAGAACAAGTTAATATATATACTATTATAATATGTTAAACTAATTAAATAAAATATTATATATATTCATATAATAACATTTTTATATTACATTCAGATATCTCCTCATAAGGAAATCCCATATCTTCAAATGTTAGACTAAGGTAGTTATTCTAGAAGTATTTTTTTTGATTGAGCTTAAATTTGTTTCTCCATGGTATTTATGTACTATGACATTTATTCTTTGAAACAGTATAGAATTGGTCCAATATTTCTTCTGCATAATCTCTATGTATTAACCAATAAATCTAATAGGTTGAAATTTTATGTAAATTTAGGTTCATATTCTATGGAAAAATTTCCTGACATCTAGAACTTTAGGAACACAGTTGGATCTCCAGTAAAAAGTTTTAACCATTTGAAATGAAAGAAACTTATGAGTTTGTATGTTCATGGGGCTTCTCCCCCCCTGCCCCGTATAATTGAAGATTATGTTTAGTTTGATAAAACCTTTCTTAGCCATCTTTAATTGTAAAGCAGTGAAGTGGAAAATTATAGTTTTAAACAGCTAATTTATATACTGTCTTTAGGGGGCAGTACTAAACCACTGATAAATTTTTTTATTTTTGCTAATGCTATTGGTAATGACCACCATTAAATAAAATTAAAATAACAATAATGAGATTTGAGATGCAATTATGTACACCTCTTAATATTTGTAAAAATTTCTAGGTAGTCAAATGAGAATGATAGTTTGAAATTTAGTCATTTAATAATTCATCCAACAATTATTAAAATCCATTATGTATAACACATGTGTGAATAAGGCAATGTTTGCTTTCAGATAACTTACAATTGAGTAGGATAAGCAAACCATACTTGTTTGTGTCTGCTATGTGTATGTACATAAGATAAAGATAATAATGATATAAATAACAATATTTATTGATAATTGTTTATTTGCCAGTCACTGTCAAGCAATTAATTTTATCCTCATAAACCCCTACTGAGTAGGAATTATTATAATGCCTACTTTGCAAATAAGAAAGCTGAAGATGAATAAGATTATGTGATATAATTGGTGATGTATGAACAGGGTAGAGACATAAGAGTTTTTCTTTGGGAAGGAGAAAGAGACATTGGAAGAAAAGAACTGATTAGCCTATGAAATATTGATAATTCTTAGCCAAGAATGTAATGACATACTGCCATGCCATCTCAACCTTGATGGGCAAACCAATCGTGAGTTAGTGAAGGAGATGCCTATTTGATCATTCTATTCATTTTTGTAGACAACATTGATCATACTGATGCTCTTGCTATATTAAGGTTTTGGACATTCCCTAATATTTTCACCCAGATGATCTGCAGGACCAAAAATCTCTGTGATAATCATCTTATATTACTGATTTGAGAAATGTGTACTTATGAAAGTATGGGGCTATGTACCAGACTGCAGAAATTTTCACTGGCTGTCACAGATAACAAAATGCTTTGGGGAATATCATCATACAGTAGAAATATATTAACAAATATGCTTCTTCAATTTAAACTGCAATGGTATCAGCTTGGTTGTTCAATATACTGCCTTCACAGGTCATTGTGCTCAATGAGAGGCCATGCAACACAAGGTTAAGGGGTAAGCTCTAGAGTCAGGCAGTTGGGAGGGAATCCTTTTTCTGCCACTTTCCAGCTCTGTGACCTTGGGTTTTACCTGACCTCTCTGTTAGTATTTACCTCAAGGGGTAATTGTGTGAATTAAAATAATGAATAATAGTGCTCAAAAGATTGTAGTTATTATTATTGCGTCTTATAGACAGTAACTTATGATTGGGAGACTAATTTCATAATTTCTCAGTTATTGAAAATTGATAAAAGGAAACAAGATATGAATGCCAAAAATAGTTGTATAAAGCTTTATATTTGATTTTTAAAAGCAACAACATTTGGAAGGTGTGGGGGTGCTATTTGCAATTCAATATATAAAATATCTTTACTAACTTCAGTAGTCATGATCTATCAGTATTGTGCTGAATGCTACTTTCCAAAGATTTTTAGGCAAACTTACTATCTTTCTTTTTTTTCTAAAAAAAAAATCCCCTTGATGAGCATTTAGCAGGTTCTTTGAATATGGAATTTTTCTTCACTTCTGGCAAAATTTCTCACCTTATTTCTTTGATAAATCCCTACTAATTCGACATGGATCTCTTAGTTTGACCCCCTAATTACCTTAGCTTTTAACTTATTTCAATCTTGTAGGAAATATCCTCACACTTAATTTCCAACTTTCCTGTTGGATTTTATGTATTTGTTTGATAGCATTCTGTTCTTTTTCAGGGATGCAAATATCTTCTATTTCTATAACTTTGTTTCTGTATATTTATTTTGTTCTCTGTTAAAGACTTCCTTTAAACTTGCAGTGAGCTTTTGGCTCTTGGTCAAATTTAACTAAAAACTTAGAAACTATTTATCCGGGTGGAATTTGTCCAGATGTGGCCTTCATAGCAGGCATTATGGCACAGATCCCCACCATATTCCCACATACTTATAGATCTTTTTTTCTTAGGAGGTTAATTTTTGTAGAGAGGAATATACTTATTCTCCTGTCTGGAGGGATATTACCCTAGCTTCCATATTCTCTAAGGTAAATATGGTAGGCACTGGGGTCGGGTGGGATTCCTCATCTATTATAGATATTTATTCACTTAATTCCTTTGTTTTTAGAGAGAGGGCCCTCTGCTCACTGTGCCTAGATTCTTAGAATTCATAATCCCTTTGCTTCAACCTCACCAGAAAGTAAATCTCCAATTTCTTGTCAGGTGGTAAAGATTTAGTTTCTTGGCTAGGTGAGAGGATAGGTCTAGGGAGTCTAACTTTTTCTAATATATAGTGTCCATCCTGTTTTAGCCCCATCTGCACCTACACCTTCAGAAGTAGTGAATCTCTCCATTCGTTAAGCCCTTTGGAGGGTGCTGAGGCATGAACAGGCCTTCTTCTTATTCTCTCCTCTTGCAGCCACTTGGCTTCCAGTTTTCTCAAATTTTCTAAATCGGGTAATATCTATTCATCTGTTTATTATTATCCAAAACTTTTCTTGATATTGCTCATCATCTTTTAACAGACTCCTTTTGTCCTTGTCCTTATGGTTTAGACCATGTTGAAAATGGAAGTCCTATGATTCGCTTAAAAAGTATTACTCTCCTTTATATGATAATATAACATGTTATGAATCATTTTTTCAAAAAGGAGACTGTTTTTAGTGATATTGTGGAAAAAATGGGATTTTTAAGTAATTTCTATTCTAAAAAAGTATTTGCATACTATTCTTCTGATTGCATTTAGAAATCATAAGATTTTTCTCATTTGTTGCTATTCAGCTATTACTTGGGTCATTTTCGTGTCCTGTTCTTTGTTACGAACTTTGTATCTTATCAATCTTTCCCACCCGGTTTTTTTCACTTTCAGCTTAAAATTGAATTATACATGTTCTTTTTGGCTGAGTCAGATGGTGCAGTCACATAACATGGCTAGAATTAAGCTGACTTGCTTGCTACAATACACGATAAAAATTTAAATTTAATTGATGTTAAGATATCTAAATAACATTGATATAATACATTGGTCTAATATAAATTTAATTTCAGAGAACTTCATCTACAATAAATTTGTCACCAGGAGAAGTGGAAGAAGAAGATGATGATGAAAACACTTGTGGGCCCTCAGGACTCTGGGAAGCGTTGACTCCTTGCAATGGATGTAGGAACCTTGGCTTCCCTATTCTTGCACAGGTAACAGCTTGCTTTTCTTAAGGTACAATAAAACATAAAAACGGTTGCCTATGTTTTTAAGTAAATCCTTTTTCCCCTCTGGAAATTCAGTTAGTATCTTGTTCACTTTGTAATTTTTCTTCAGTTAAGGTCAGTAATATATTTATATAACTTGCTATACATATATGCATATGCAAACACATATTTTACATAATTTTATGTGGTTGTTTTATTTTGGTCATGATGCTAGTTCCAGAAAAATGGAGTTACTCAGTTTTAATATTTATGATCCAGAAATATTTATTACAAAATGTTCTTTTTAAATTAAATCATAATTTGTATTAAAATAATAAAAAAATGATTTACAAAGAAACATACTAGGGCTCTATAAGAGCATAGTGATTTTTTTCTTAGCACAATGGAACATTGTAGAGTAATGTGTGGCATTATTAGTACAACCCCAAAATGAGAGGCGAACACTAAAACATTGACTATAATTTTGAACCCATTTTGCTCTTCATTAAGTCAATTTTAATTCGATTGTATCACCTTCAAATTCCTATTGTCTGCTATGGACTACAAGCCCTTAGGGGAATTTCAGAAAAAGTGAAATAAGCCAAACAGAGTGAAGAAATTGGAAACCACAATGAAATATTTCTACACAAAAATGAAAAAGCATGTTATTAAAAACAAAACAAAACAGTGTAATAGCAAAGGTACGTCTGTGTACCGACATAAAGCATGGGGAGAAAAATAGTGCAGGACAGGAAATAATCCACAGTAATTTTCCAGAATAGTGTTATATCTCAAAACTATTCTTTCTTATTTTGTAACAAATATGAAGCAATTGTATCTAAGGAACCATAACATTTTTCATGTCAATGGACAATTTGGTGATACCCACTCAAATTCCAATATTAATTTGTTGTGGAAAACTAAATAGGATAATCAAATCAACATATAGTACTTAAAGAACCTCTTCACCTTAATATGAACTGTTATAGGACTTTAAGACAATTTATCCTAACCATTACATAATTATTATCAATACTAGAGGCCCGGTGCACAAAAATTTGTGCACTCGGGGGGCGGGGGGAGGGGGGTCCCCTAGCCCGGCCTGTGCCCTCTCGCAGTCTGGGACCCCTCAGGAGATAACAACCTGCTGGCTTAGGCCTGCTCCCGGGTGGCAGAGGGCAGGCCCAATCCCTAAGTGCAGCCCCTGGTCAGGCTCAGAGCAGGGCCGATTGGGGAGTTGGGGCGCCGCCCCCTGTCATGCACAGAGCAGGGCGGATCGGGAGGTTGCAATGCCACCCTCAGTCACGCTCAGGGTAGGGCCGATTGGGGGGTTGGGGCACCGCCCCCTGTCACACTCAAGGCAGGGTCGATGGGGAGGTTGCAGCGCCACCCCCTGTCACACACAGAGCAGGGCTGATCAGGGGGTTGGGGCGCCTCCCCCTGTCACGAACAGAGCAGGGCAGATAGGG